CGAGCGATGATCAGAACAGATTTATGACGAACCGTCTCAGTGTTACGTGTCGCACGTCACCCGTGCGGAGCGAATCCTCGACGACGCGTCGTCGCCGCAAAGCGTCATCCTCGGTGGATCTTGTTTGATCAAGATCCAACGGCAAACGGCACGAGATAGATTTGTGTGGCCGACTAATGTTCGTCGACACGCAAGACGCTCTGACCATTAGAAATGAGGCCGATTAAGTTCTCTGCCTCCCAAGTCGATAATCATATGTCCAATTGGCATTTATCATTTTAAACATAGCGGCATGATCGATCTATAATATTTATCCTCCCGCCCGCCTGCTCGCCCGTCCATCCATCTATCTATCTATCGTGGTCGTCGTTGCTACCCGAGGCTGGTAGCCGACTGAAGCTGCTGCTCACTCAAATCTTTCCCCACGTGGCTTTGACGCGACCTCCTCAGAGTCCGAAAAAAACTTCACCGTGGAGCATGAGTTCGGGATTTTCCGATTTCGACACCGAAAGCTGATGGACCCCATCGAGTGCGACATGGAACAAGGAACCTCGTTCGTTAATCGTTCCATCGAATCCCATTCCGCCCTCCTCTGATGTTCCGCTGTCGGGGAGAATCCCCTTCGCGCGAAGTCGCCATGTCTCAGTTTTTAGCCCTTGGCGACGTGCGAGTAACAGAGCGAAGCGTGAAGATGTTCGGTCTTCGTCTCTGATCACCGGAGAAGCAGTCTGAAATGTACGTGTGAGAATGAAATATTTTCTATCAAATACTTATTAGTCAAAACTCTCAAATGCTCTTCTCGCGGCAGCCGACGTCGTGCGCCGCCGTTCGGAGCCTACATTCACACACCCATGTTCTCGAGCGAGCCCGAAGAGAAAAGGAATTGACTTCAAAATAGGCGTTCTGTGCGAAAGCCGCGCCGTGGCTCCACGTATTCCCGTTCAGGATGCGCAACTGTCTGTGATACAATACATGATCGTTGGAGTACCTACATGCCCCGAGCTCTAGCACGGGGACGGTCACGGAATCGCGGGGATTGGAAAACCAAAATCCCTGATGGGTCGGGAATGAGATCCATGGAATGGGGACCTCTCCCGCTCGGGGGGATCTGGACGAGAAATGGGGGTAGTGGCGGAAGGATCGGGAAACGGTTCCCCGATGGGCGAAGAAAACATTCATCCACATGTCCCGCTCAGCCTCGGGGCGAAATATCATAATTCTGAGCTCGTGGTGATGTTAATCGATCGCAGTAACGACGAGTGGGGAGAAAGCTCTGGCATGATCGTCCCGTGGCCACAAGGATCCGGTGTTAGCTCCAATCGAGAACGCTGAATTCGCTGAAAGGAAAGCGCCACGCAGATTTGATGGTGAGCGAGCAGAACTCGAGGGCAGGCTTGACAACTGTTGGCACTGTGGGACACCAATTCGGAATTCGCATTCGACTGCTGGACACGGCCGCGAGAAGAAGAAGGAGCCGCGCTAAAAGGGGCGCTCCAGACTCAGTCAGTCAGTTACGATGATCACTGTACCGCGCGGATTCGATCAATTCACACGAGCGAGCCGAATCCTCGACCGAAAATTTTCACAAGGGCTCTGAGCGGATGGCGTTTTTTTCGTCAGCTCCAAATTGATCTCTGACCGCCCGCCAGCGAGCTAAACGTGGAGCCGTACTTTATGATTCCCTCGTTTTTTTCTTCTCTCCGGTGCGTTCGCTCGAAAATCAAGGATGACCCCACTTGTCTTCGAGCCATACCTCACCATCGGTTACGGATGCTTTTCGTTATTTAAGCGTTTTGTACGACGCATTGCGGTCCCATAACTCGAAGCCTTTACAACTCGGAGCGTCGCCGCCGCTCCGCTCACTCAGACGAATCCAAAGGACGTCGAGTCGTTGAGCTGCATCCGTCGCGCATAGTGTAATGCCCAGTGAACGGAGACTGGAGCGGCGGCTTGGTCATCGTCTTGGTCGACGATGTTATTGTACCCCAGGATTATCGTCTCAAACTGAGAGCCACTCCTCGTATCCGCCTTCTCGACTTGGCTTTAGCTTGGTGATCCCTTACGCAATAACTACATAATTGCTCGTCTCGTACGAATCTAGCTGCCACTGTGGTGACTGCTTGAGGAATTGCTCAGCTCTGTCATTACTAACAGTCAGTCGTTGATGATCGGCTATCCGTTAATCATATCATACAACAACCTCAGTCAGTGTTGCCTCGGGACGATAAGTTGCCCACAAATAGCGTCAGGGATTGTTCATTGAGCGCCAGCGTCGAGCGGCTTCGTCCACGGACCGATCTCGACCATTAGACCCCGATAGATTTCCCGAGCGTGGAGGCTGAGCGATTAGAGGAATCAAGAGAATGAGTTCGAGAGCTCTCGCACCGCCGAATCTTTCCTTTTCCTCACTCCCTCCCCCTCCTTCCATCGGGTGATTCACTGCCGCATCGGACGTATACGGATTACTCGAAAGCTCTGATGAATGCTCGCTCCCATGAGCCGAACAATGCGCCGCTTTCTGGAATCAGATGACTCGATCTCGCAGGAGGATCTCCGTCCCCGTTGTTTCATGATCTCGCGTCCATCGACTTGCGTGAGAAGTTTGGCGTTTGTTCCAAGAAGCCGCGAACATACCGAAAACATCCCTGTCTGCGTCCAGTGAATAACACGGGCTCGGCAGAGCTAACGACGTACAAGTTTTCCGAATTCTAGATCATCATTGAAATTAGCGCCGGACGACGCGACGATCACGGACGGTCTGGAAAAACGATCCGGTGGAGCGGTGGGTCGTATCGCGCCCACCCGAGTTCACTACACGAGCACTTGACGGCGAATTTATTAGATTGGCTGGTTTCATTCATCAGAAATGTTCGATCTCTGTCAGAGAGGAAGAAGCAGAAAAGCCGAAAAATTCACCCCTTCGGATATTCGTTATCGTATCCGCTCCGTGGACCGAAGACGGCCCTCCCGGAGCTCCGGACGTCCTTCGGTCGAAATAATCGAGGCTCCATTCCATCATCATGACATCCTGAATACGTTGTACGGGTGTCCGCCCGCGGGATAGCGCACTCCGGCACGGATTCACTCGTAAACGGTTCGAGTGAAGCATTCGAACTGTTTCAGATTTTCAGCGCACGGCTTAATGATCATGAAGACGACGAGGATGATAATGATTGGTAAGTTTCGCCAGGGACCGTGAGAGCCCGTTGGTTAATATTTCGTTCGGACAGTCTGTTAAGCGGGCGTTTGTGTCCGCCCTGATAAGTCCGTCGGTCGGTCGGTCTGTCCGTCGGTCGCCTGCTATCCAGGGGTCGGTTGCTCGGTTAAATCGCCGAATGGTAAATCCGGCAAATTCGGCAAATCGACAAGCTCTGTTTCGGCATAGACCACCACACCCTATCCTGCTTCTGGGGCACCGAGTCGAACATAACTCGCGACTCAACGGACTCGCCTCACTTTGGCTCAGCGCATCCCACCGGACCCCGTCAGCTGGGCAGGCAGGCCGGTCGGTCGGTCGGACGGCTATCGTCCATAGCGTCCAGGGTATACGGGTTGTTCAAAAAAGTGCCGCTTCTTGTTCGAATGCATTTCAATGACTTCGACTGTCGACGTACCGCCGAGCCGCCGTCTCCCGTTCCTCTTCTTCAGTCTATTCATGCCAAGTCGGCTACCCCTTGACATTCATTTGAGCATCGTCTGCCTGCGAGGGAAGCGTAAACTATGCACGGCAAAGTTCCCAATTCTCGTCGGACAAACGAAAAACTCCAGCAGCCAGGAGAGATTCGTCCCATGGAGGCTAGTACGAGGCGGAGTAAAAGGCTTCTGGAGTCGTCAGAAAATGGAATCGACTCCCCTCAGGTCGCTGGGAGACATGAGACGACCGCTCCGAGCTGTGGAAATTCTCCTGGGCTAGGACCTGGGGTCCAGTTCGTAATCCGAGGAAGTTTCGAAAGGGAACCACCCCCTGAGGAGCATCAGCACATTTCAGAGTCCAGAGGAACGTGGAGGGTATACGAGCGACGTATGTTTGCATCAATCAGAAAGTCAATCGTGACTTTCTGAGAGCTCTCATAATTGGCTGGAGCACCATTTTTCGGCGACGGACTCGAAGGTCATGACAGCGGTCTACCCGATGCACAAATCTCCGTGACACTTTTTAGAGAGGAGAATCTCCCAAAATACGAAACAGGTGCTCTAGTATTTCGATCGGACCCGACGTTTCCGTGCGGCATCTTGAATTAGCGCAGGCTTGAGACAACGTTTACGACTACTCAAATGCTTCTGTGAAGAATCCGCTCCCTCGTAGCTCAAGTTTTGATGAGCTCAGGCGATGAGCAGCAGCGGCAGCTACAATCAGGGAGGCCAAGCTGAGGCTCAGCTCGGGTTTTACAGTGGATCTTTAAAAGGCGAAAATTGAAACGTCGAGAAGATACAAGACCTATCGATATCGCTGAACGCCCTCAGGGCGGGTCAGGTTTTTCACGACGCTGCTCGGACTGCATATTCTAAACAGGATTGAACAGTCTAACATCTGAGGACTGCCTTCTCCCCTCTCATATTGACCCGGAGCTGGAATGTTGTCCCGCGGAGTAAACCGCCTCCGAACGAGAAGACCGTTGGTCGTGGAAAGGAGCAAGGAGAACACGCGTTCCCTCTTCCCAGCTCTGGTCTCTTCCGGGTTTCCCGGAACAACGAGGGTGGCTACGGACGAGGGGAATGAATCGGTGAGGAATTGACCCCTCTCGAATTTCCCGAGGCGTCCCTTTCGACGTTCGATGCCCCATTATCGACAGATGAGCGCTGTCGACTGTGCCTCGTGCCCGGCTCCCAAGTCCAAATTCACACATCCTGGAATTGCCAAATCTATCCCCGAAGCGGAATCTCCCCCAACGGAACCCATTGTTTATCGGATACGGCTTTTTGCAGATATCGGTCCGGATCGACCAATCATCAATTACCCTGCCCGGAGCGTGACCGAGGAGCGAAAAGAAGTATCTCGAGACCATGGTTCGTTTTATTACAGGAACTCGGGGTCGGCGCTATATCCCAGAATGCGCGACTTGTACTATCGCTTTCAGAATCATTTCCACTATCCCGCATCTTCGTTGGCAGTTGGCGAATATTCTTAATTTAAGATAGAACTTTCATCGCGCTCTGGAGCGGCTCATCAAGCGACGGCCTCGAGGAAGCAGTTCTGGAGGAATGGACTCGGCGTCCAGGACCCGGAATAGATTCGACATCGGCATCGACGGCGAATCAGGTCCGGGTGAAGGTTCGGCCACTGATCGTTTTCTTCTCCACGTTCTTTGTCTCAGGTCGAGCACGGTTGAGCACCTGAGTGAATTATCGATTGTGAATCCTGGTAGCACATCAGGAAAAGTCAATTTCTGGTTCGGGGATGCTTCAGAACTCTCATATTTCTCACCTTGAGCAGATCCGATGTCTTCGCTCTCATCCTCGAATGGATGTAGGCTTTCGAGCACTTGATGTGGTAGTGCAAGTAGTCTCTGGAAAGATGAGAGATACTCTCAATCATCAGATCCCTCTTCCCCAATCTCCCAGGCGCATGAGCAGGAACAAAGAATGCTAAAGCTCGAGAAGGGTCATACTCTGACGATAACCTCACCTGAACATGTGGATGAGATTGATTGTGTTATCCCGGGCTTGAGCTGAGGTGTGTCTCGGGAATAACACGAAGGTGATGTATCCTGATCAAGAGGAGAATAGGATTTAGGATCCCATACTTTGCCAATTGGATATTCCAGTGATGGACCGCTCAGGCAACGCAGCTCAATCTCAGCCGAGTTTTTGATGTTCGCCTCTATCGAAGGGCATTCCCCTGTTCCTAGAGATTTCTGTGTATGATGAGAGACTCCGAAAGGGAATCATCCCCGGAAATTATCCCCCGAGGAGCGACTCAGAGGAACCGGACCATTGAAAAAGTGATCAACCCACGAAATAGTTAACTGCATCGAGCTCAATCATCCATGTAGTCCTGACGATGTATTGGCTTACGGGGAAATGCTCCCGAGCCCGCGATTCCCCGGAGCTCTGAGCCTTGCGCATGTTAAAATCACACATCACGCCTATGTTACGGGAATCATTCGAGCGATTAGCTAATGTTTAATTAACTGAGAATCTACGAGACGATCATGTTACAGCTTGAACTGAGAGGGAGGACACAGCACACGTTGGTGCTTACCGCCGAAATGTGAGATATCTGCAATTATTCCCAAGACGTCAATTACTCCCGCAAGACATCAGCTGCCTCATTCGGCTCGAATAGACTCCGCTCAAATCTAAAAGAGCCGCGCAATCGCGCAAGGCTGAGCTTGCGAAGCCTGATATTCATTTTGAAATTTTCCATCGTGGTCTACCAAGGGGAGTCAGCTCTGACTATCGTCAGGTATTCGAATAAGACGGATATAACTCCCAAGACCTTTTTCGTCGAGATCCAATAGAGATTCAAAGCTCTTACCCCATAATCGACCTTGTTCCCCACGAAAAAGAAAATTAGTCGAGACACCCACCGATATTGTCTCCGGTCATCGCATCCGTGTTTTGGAGTTCCCGCGGAGGTTCTCTGTGACTAAATAAGACCTGCGGAGCCGTGTGAGAAGCCTTGCGGCCCTCCTTGAACTCTTGCATGAAGACCTGGAAATCACGCAATAATTTTGGACAGGACGATAGTCAACAAGCTACTTTCGGTCCAAACGATTGATTTTCCGGAAAGAATCCGGTGCCCTCACCTTGCCAATGACAACGTCGTCCTCATCTTTGAAAATTGTGGAAAAGATCACCGTAACGCGATCGTGACTCGCTTCGACGTACATTGTTTCGTCGTCCCTGAAAGAGCGCAGAATACCAATGTAGAGCTCATACTAGGACGCTTTCATGGAGATGCAGGCACCCCGATCCAAGGAAATCTCCGCTGTACCCGGGATCTGCGCTAGCTAGGATGCCATACATTCGGAATACAGATTCTCTCAGTTTCCCCCCAGGGCTGACCTGTAGTGAATCACTGCGCGTTTGAGATCTCCTCCTTCCGGGTTCTCAGCCAGTTTGGCTTGATGCTCGAAATATTTCTCGAATACGGACGCGAAGCAATTCCGCTTGAGCAGACCAGCCTGGAAGTTTCGAACAGAATTCAGAGACTATCGGAAACTTGAATCGCTCACGCACACAGAGACGTCCGCTATTCATTCGAGAACTTGAAGAATGGTTCTCTAGCAGCAACCCCCGTCACTCACTTTCTTGACGAGGGGCTCGAAATCCTCCGGAAGCGCATCCATGTCGAACAGGATGGACACATTGTACATCTCCTCGGGTGTGGCTTCAAGGAGTTCGCCTGGGAATGAATGCGCATTTTTTAAGATAAAAATCACTCGTATCTTGGACCTTGAGCTCTTAAGGGATCATTTGTGAATATCGTTTTGTATTCCCGGACCGAGACGCCTCCTCGAAAACTCACCATACTCTCGCTTCAAAAGCTCATCCGCGCCATGATCCTGCAGTTCTCTGGAAACGGAATTCAGCTTATCCATCAGAGCTTGACTCGACGGAGACTCCCCGAAGGGTTGACGCATTTCTCTGACGTAGCTCAATATTTGGAACGGGACGTAGTGTAGTGATAGAAGGGAATAATCGCAGTACCTGTAGAATTTGAGGGCTATAGACAATCTGATTTTGCTCTTGTCGCCCGCTGGATTGGAGAGATGGAAGAGAACACCGTCAAAGTCGGCCACGGTTGCATCCACATAGTCTGCCTGCGAAGTCAATTAACTCAGATGAAGTCTTGAGATTCCGAGGCTCGAGCAAAAGAGAAGGATCCAATAAGGCGAATGCGGAGAGTTCCGTGACATAGTAATCACCTTAGACCCGGCCTTGTGGTTGCTGAACTTCACTCTCAGTATGTCTTCGACGATTTTGTTGTTCGTTTCCAAGAGGATCATCTCGAGTCTAGGGTCTCGACAGCTTCCTGCGGAGAAAATGGCGAAAAACCTCAGAACCTGGTCTAGGAGATATCAAAGCTCCATGGACAACATTTGATTCCGGATTGAGCGAGCAGCCCATGATTTTGACATCATTGGTTGGCGTTCTTTTTTGAAGACTTTTTTCTTTTTGAAGACTCGCCTAAAATGATCAGGCCCTCTCTCGAGGTCCACGAGTGCTCCAGAGAGTCGCTTAATTTTGAGATCACGTACGAAGGGCGAGGAAAAGAAATCATCACGGCCGGAAGGGCACTCTTCTACCTAGAGAACTGATTCGATGATTCGAAGTCCTACATAAAAGCAGATTATCCACGCGGCGGGCCTTGGGAGCTCGAGAAGCGTGATTGATTTCGAAAACGCCTTCCGAACGGAGCTACTCAACGAGAATCGAGGAGCCGCTTGATTTTGACAGCTCTTCTCCTGTCGGCACAAGTCTCGACCCCGGTACTGGCTCGGGACACGAGTTCGAGAACTCACGCCGCTCTAGAATTCTTCCGCAGTCTCACCTAAGAAGCTCCACCAACTTATGCGATATGAACACCAGTGTTAATCAGTCGGAATAGAATGACTCTATATGGAAGTTTCGCTCCGTTAGTCACCACTACAGTGCCGCAGTAGCATGGATCGACGACGACTTCCACCACCCCTCTTCAATATACCTCGGAAAGCTGCCGATTCCGCCAGACGTGTCGGACAGTCGGACTGCTCCAACGAGAGGGGCGGTCTTATACGCGAATGGCGCTGATGAATAGCTCGGCGCGCTTTTCGAAACTCCAAGAATCAACGAAGTCCGGAAAGTCCAAGAGTAAGGAAGTATTCACAGAGCTCTCGCAAGCTTTGGATTTTTCTGCGTGCCTTGGCAAGATTCGCCGCCGCGAATCCTTAGATAGGGACTTAAAGATGTCTCGGAGTCCAAAAACCGCGTGGAGTCGCCGTTTCCCAATAGGGTTTCGTCAGCTCGTTCAGCGCGGGCTGGATATTCCGCGCTCTGTAAGCGTGTTGTTTCTCTTACTGGATATTTTCATGACTCATTTCATTGCTCATGATGGTACAATACTATTGTTCAGAAACGTATCTATAAGAAGTTCTGCTTTTATTGCTCCTTCGCCAGTAGGATTTCTCCGAACTCTACTTCTGCGCCCCCAGACTCCCACCATACGCTTATTTTCACCCGATCGAGTCCATCGTTCCTTTCATCGGGATCTCTGATGGTGTTCGCCGTTGACGTCACTTCCTTTTCCATCCATTTCTCGGGCTCGAACATTTTTCAATGTCACGCACGTCCCCTCTCGACCTTCCAGGACTCCGACAAAGTCCTGCCACAGACACAGAGAGACAGTTCGGAGGGTGTCTCCGACCAGAGTGACGTTCTGAGGTACACGGGCCCGTCGCGGCATCCGAACGAATGCGGTCTTCCACATCGGTAAAATGGCGAGATCGATCATCTCGGTGTTCTTTTTCCCAGCAGCTCAAGAATCGTGATCCGATCCGTCTTGAGAATCGGTATTTGTCTTCCATCTATCTCTTAGACATTTATAAGAGACATGATTAAGAGTCTCATTGAAGAGAATATCGATCCAGAAATCCTTCGATCCGAAGGATGCTTAATAAATTCGTCACCCATGATTACCATTGTTAACTGTATCCCGAATTCATTATTCGCCTTTCTGTATCTCGGGTTGACTGTCTTGACTTTGGATATGCTGATGCATTCCCCAAGCTCAATCTGATCAAAGAACTACACGGCGACAACGCCGGGTGCCGGATGCGATTCCGAGATTCCCCCCGACTCGTCGCTCAAAATGAAGGATCGCGACTCTCCTCTTGGTTGCTGAAATGTTCTCGTTTGGCCAACTATCCTGGCAGTATTGATCGAAATCAATGGGCGGAGGGATTTTTTGAATAGCTCGTTCCGGTTTTTTCTTCTTTCCAGAAGTGAAAGTCTACTTAGCTGCTGAATGACTGCTTCGTAGAGTCAAGCAGGCTGGTTCTTGGGACTCGCCACTGAGACCTATCAGAGAGTCAAATATCATATTGAGGGCTCTGGCTCTGCGCTGTGTGAGTAGCCTTCGGGAATCCTAGGGATTCGAAACCCGAGGACTCGATCCTCGTGTAGACCCTGTAGTCTGTGGATAGATCTCCGATGATTTTTGGGTTCCCTATCCGGAGGATCCTGAGCTTTGATTCTTGCGCGTGCTCTGAGCTCTGTGGATGAAGTCCCGATAGGTTTCGCTTTCCTCATCCCGAGGAATCACGGAGTTGATGCCCATGCGGGTTTCTGGCCTCTAGCTCTAAAAGCGCTGTGGATAGAACCGCGGACATATCCGAGCTCTTCATCCCGAAGGTCTTCGGAGATGATTCTCGCGGGGGCTCCGGGCTCTTCGGAACTCCGACAATAACATCGAGTTCTTTATCCTGAAGATTCTCGGAGCTTATTCCTAAAAGGACTTGGTGCTCTGCGGATAGAAGGCCCAGAAGTCTCAGCGTACCGAAAAAAGCGTTGAGCTGACTATCACAACCACTCATCAATGAGACGCCGCTCTGGGTTCGAGCATTCGGACCCGACCCGTCCGCCGGGATCGGCAGGTTCTTCCCCCCGACGCCGACGCCGGTTGGTTGACGGGCGACTGACGTTCGAGAGAGTGTCTGAGAGTCTCCATCAAGAACCATCGAGGCTGTGCCTAGGATTTCCTGATTCCTGAATTCCTGACGAAGACGCTCAACCGGTTGACGAGTTTTCCCTTCTTCCCATGATGTATCGAAATTCGAGCCGAGGTCTCCACAGTCTTGCTCACCGCTAGGGAGGAGCTTGACAGCAAGAGAACTGCCGGGTTGCAATTCCGTACGGTTCCCGCCCGGCTCCATGGCGAATAGTGTGAAAGCGACGATTCGATGCACAATCCGAAACACGCGCAAAGTAGACGTGTCGGTGTCGGAACCAGCAATTCGCTTACGACCGGCTGGAGAAATCTTGGACTGACGGCTTTTTAAATCACCCGAGAGTAAATCGACCCCGAATCGCTCCGCTGTCATTGGTAGGTCTCTGTCAGACTCATTCTCATTGACCGCACTTTGTGTTCCCATCGCTCTACACTCAACTTCTGTCCCCCGGAGATTCATTGACGGAATGATCGTCGAATTTGAGTCGTCGGATGACGTGTCTACCGTCCCTTACGTGTATACTAATTTGACGTTGTCCGTGGTGCGAGAAAAGTCAGGAACTCGAATACATCGAGTTATCGACCCCTAATAGTCGCTTTTCCCCAGTGAGGACTCGTCGAGGAATATTCGTGAAGGATGTCCAGCGATAAAGTAGATTCACTGGCTGGGAAGCTGGTGATAAAGGTTTGTTCTCTATTCGTGCCGAAAATCATATCTCAGATAAATTCGGGCAGCCGTCGCCAGAATCTCCCTCGGTCTCCACGAAGCCGTGTCGCGTCGTGGATTCCAGGGTTTTAGTCAAGCGAATCTCGTATCGTTCTCGTGTACCGTCGAAAATGCGCTGCGTGTCTCTGCGAATTCATCGGGAATGGCCAGCGACTCAGTATGAATCGTTCTCGCGTGTCCCTTCCTTTTCCAAAATCGCTCCCTCTACAGGATAGCATTCATGATACTTTCATAGTGGTCATTCTCGTGGCTTTGCGGTCGTGCGAGAGAGTCAGTCTGACGTCGTTGGCACATATGGCACTCTTGATTCGAGGGGAAACGCTCGGACTGTAGGAAGATTGAGCTCTCGACGCTCAAGAAGAGCACAGTCTTCTTTTATTCTCGGAGAAACTCGAATATATTTTCCAGGCTCAGCTAGGCCAAGACATCCGTCGAATCGCCATTCATAATGAAGATATCACTTTCGATGAGCTCATTCTTATGATGCAACGGGTGTTCCGGGGAAGTCTGTCAACGCAGGACCAAATAACGTGAGTATCGTCGACGCGGTCACTTTTTTCCGACCGAGGCTTTCTACGTCTCCTTGAGTAAGATTCCGACTCGCTCGAGAGTTTCTCGCCGGATGCTCCCTCATCTTTCGGAGATTTTCGGAATAGATTGCTCTCAAGGATGATGGGGAAGACTGTATCTACACAGTCTCTCGTCATCTTCTGCGCCGGGGATGAAATTTTTTTGTTTCGCAGACTCAAATACAAAGATGAGGACGGAGACTTGATCACGATAGTCGACAATTGCGATGTTGCTCAGGCGATCCTCTGCTCCCGAGTTTTGCGATTGAAAGTCATCGTGCAAGGTCATTTCACGCAAGGAGGAATTGATCCTCATGTCCGCGGGTATATTCGTCATTCGTACCGAAATACTCAGACTCGAGCCGAGGAGATCTGACGACTTGGATCATTCTAGGTGACGACAAGTCGAACTCGGTCAGCGACTTGCGAGCGGATCTCGTGCAAGTGCGCGAAAAGGTTGAACAATTGATCGAAAAAACTTTTCTCTTGACTCTGGAAGGCGGTTCCGGTGACGGACAGGCACCCAATCCCAAAAGTGAGCTCGAGACGAAGAGCAAAACGAGCATTGTAGCAGAAATCCGTAAATATGGATTTATCACCATAATCAATTTTTATTCTTCATATTGAAACGAATGTCTTCCGATTCAGTGAACGGTGACCACACCTCATCGTCGTCGTCGCCGGCCAATGACAGGGCCTCGAAGAACACGCAGTCGAAGCGAGAAACGATCCCGCCGTTCTCCCCATCGTCGATTCAATCAAGCGACAGCAGGCCCCCGTCTGTTCCGGCTCCAACTGCATTTGCACCCGTAAGTCAAACTTCGAAGGCATTCACGATGGACTGAGTGGAAAAAAAGTGAAATGCCCAGGTCTTCTCAAAATTCCGACTGAATCTTTGAGCAGTACAGACAAGAGCAGCAGCAACAGCCGGGACCTCAAGGACCTCCGTCACAGGGTCCACCTGAGGCTCGGCAAACCCCGCAGCCCCTTCAGCAGCCCCAAGCAAGACCACCTCCCCAAATGACCGCTCAGCCGACCCCGCAACAGGTGCCTCTGGGAAGTCAACAGGTCATGCAAGGTCCGCCTCTCCAAGGTCAGCCCCCGCATTCCATGGGTCTTCCCCAGGAGTCGAAGCCCATGCAACCGATTCAGCAGCAGATGCCTCAGCCGCAACAACAACTGCAGCAAACGCAGCTCCAATCCCAGCAGATGCCCCAGCCGCAACTACAGCAAACGCAGCTCCAATCCCAGCAGATGCCTCAGCAGCAAATCCCCCAGCAGATCCCGCCCCAGCAGGGCCAGCCTTCGACCCAGCAGCCTCCTCTCCATCAGCAAGGTCAACCTGGAGCACCTTTTAACCAAGGTACATCCCTCAGCTATTCTGAATGAGTTCCTGTCCGGGGATTCCGATAATATCCTCGTTCTTCGACAAGAAATTGCGCGATCACGGAACCTCCAAAGCATCACTCATTACGATTCCAGGGGTGGCTTCATTATTCACGCAGAATCAAGCCAACACGCGAATGGCTCAAGTTGCCCCTCAAAACTATCCTCTCACCCATGGAGTTCAAGCCAGCCAACCCCCTTTCGCCGGCTATAGTCCTTCGCCTTCGCCGCTAGGGCCGCAACAACAAGGCCAACCACAAGGATTGCCTCAAGGACCGCCGCAAGGACAGCCGCAAGGACAGCCGCAGGGACCGCCGCAAGGGCAGCCCCAGGAGCAGTCTCAAGGCCAGCAGCCTCTGAACAGGCCGGTCGCGAACTTGAGTCCCGCGCCGAGCCAACAAGCGGTGAGAATCCTCTTCGAGCGATGAGACGATCAAATAGTTATTGTTCTCGAGATGCTCGGTCACGCGAGACGTTTCTGTCAGACTTCTATCCTCTGTTTTTGGTCACCCTCACACCTCAGGTCAACCGGTTTCTCTGATTGCAGTGGCCACCTGGTCCCCCTCCCACATTTCCCGGGTCCATGTCTCCAGGAAGCGCGGGAAACCCGTACTCCCGGCTCCCTAACCAATATCGATACGCGAACCCGCCTTCCGGAAACACCTACTAGGATGTTTGCGACCCGGCAAATTCAAATCACAGAGGAGCCCACACTTGGCGAATGTCTGAAGTGATTTTGCGACAACGTTTGAATTTTTATTTGCTTCGAAATTATTCAGGTGACATCCGATAAGTTAGTTTGCACAGGCGGTCGGGGTCATTCCGAGTCTTCCATCTGGCTTTCCGGGAGGGCTCGCTTCGGCGATATCCGCATGCATTGGGTCTCACCAGACTTGAACAAGGTTCCTTCCAATGACATCAGCCCTAGGTTCCATTTTTCGTCGAAGGGGAAGGAGACGGCAACCTCGAACCATTTGAGCCCATTTAAAAAAAATAGTCAAGACACAAGCGGTGACCGTTGGGGCGTTTGCGATACAGATGGGCGGGTCTTCGAACGTATGCACGGCACAGCGGATCGGTGCCCTCGGGTGCTTTGATCGAGGATAGTCGTTTGAATGAATGGTTCTCCCATCGAGCTGATACATGACTCTCCCGGGGCGCTGAAAGGCTGGCAAAAAACAGCGGCCGTGTTCGGGGAGATAAGGAAAGAAATCAAACTATCCCTTGGAGATAATATCCGTCGAAAAATAAATGTTATACAGAAGAAATCGGAATGATCGAGTCTTGTCCGTCTCCTGATCACTTGACCTCTTAAGAATGGCATTTTCTCGACTCGACGAGAGAATCCCTGATCGCCTCCGCAATGCAGTCCGTGGGAGAGACGGGGACCCTTTTCTTCCAGCGCGAGCGATCCACTCATTCCTATCCCGGTTCGCATCCGGTTCGGAGCACACTAAAAGACGCAGTGGAGAGATGGAACAGGTGATGGGACTCCTCCTCGATCTAAGGATCACGCGAGGGCTTCAGGTAACATTGTTTTTATGTATGTACATCAATTTATACACATCGGTGCCGGTATCTGCTGCAATTCAGGGGACTCCCGGGCAATCGTTCGAGTTTCTCAGACGACGGACCACTTTCTCGATCCTCATTTTCTCGGAAGCCCGGCACCCCGGTATGTTTTAAGAACTGAGCGGTTCCGGACTCCCCGGAATATCGGGAGATGAGATTAAATTCGAAAATCCGAATAGCTCACAAAACGATCCACGAAGCGTTGATCGATATCTAATGAATGTAACGCAGATGAATACTTGGTGCAAATTTTGTACAAGGTGTTCTGTATCCTGTCTTGGAGGATGTTCGGTCCATGGCCCTGTGCAGCGAGCTCCAAGTTGAAAAGGATGTCCATGACTTGTCTAAAATGAACCTGAACTACCCCGTTCTTGTTCTCTCGGTACGCGTGGTAGACGAGAATTCCAATCGCGTCCAAGCACCACAAAACTTGCTCGAGTTCCTGAAAGACGGAATCCTCCGTGATCAATCGGTCGGACTCCTATCGACCCTGCAGATGATAGGATGAGGGAAGACGATACGATGAGGAGAAAATGCAGCATCCTTACGGGTATGTCGATGAGGGCGGGTTTCTTCCAGCTGAATTTAACGCTCCTCTTCGGCCGGTTTTTCTCTAAATACGCTGTCGCGTCCTTGAGGGTTTTGAGCGCTGGCTCGACCATCGTTCCCCAGTTGAGGATCCTGCCACCGATCGGACTGATCTCCCACACATATTCACGACTGGCCCTCCCTGAGGCAACGAAGAGACTGGCCTCCCAAAACGCGACTTTGTCTCGTTTCGCGAGTCCTATGCGGAATGGAAACTTCAGACCACCGAATCATGAGAGAGGAGCGCCTGGGACGAGTCGAGGGAATTTCTCATGGGCAGGACCTACCTTCACATATTTTCCTTCCATTGAGTCTCAATGGCGGCAATGTCATGAAGAGTCGAGTCGTTGCTAAGCAAGTATTGTAGAAAACGCTCATCATGATCGCCACGAGGGAAGTGTCGATCAAAAGGCCCGTGAATGAAGTGTTCTTCATCGATCTCGTCAGTGCCATCGCGGCCGCGGCGGATATAACTAGAAGGAATCCCAGAGCGTTGAAGCTCGTGGAGAACTTGGGAAAAATTTGCGACGATATGACGTGGGCGATGCGACGCCTTGTCGACACGCAAATCTGCGGCACCTGGAAAATTTCAAGATCTTCAATCCTTCTGAATCAGTATGATGAGCGTTGTCCACGTAGCGAGTAATCGGCGGAGTCTGCCGCGAGGGAAGAACACCCGGGTGCGGAAACGAACCAGCTTCAAAAATTAGGGAATTTCGTCCAGCGACACGTCTCTGCTGGGAACGACATATCGCATGAACAACAGTGAGCATCGCCCCTGCAGCATCGATGGGAGAATCCCTCGAAAGCGGATGAGAGACGTTTACTCCATTCTCGCTTCTGCCATGAGATTCTGGAGTGATGGAATGCCTACCTTCAGAGGAGCACGGCTCACCGAAACCAAGACGCGGAGACCGACCAAGGTTCCGAAGAGAACAGTCGTCACAACAGAGAACTTCCATTCTAGCGATGATGGGTTCAGGAGGGCCGACAGCGGAAGACACAGAGGGATGAGGAGAGGGTAGGTGAACATCAATTTGTCCCCCCTTAGGGACGAGTTTATGAATGCGCAGGTGGGCACTGAAATAGTCAAATTATCGTTCTCTACAATTATTAAGCAAGTTTCCCTCTGCAAGCTTGCCTCCCTGGCCTATTCGCCTATGGGAACCCGAAAAGTCTCAGCCTGGTGGATGATGACATAATTATTCATTGGATCCTGGAGACTATTGTTTTTGAGGTCCTCAGTCCTCCCATTTCCGCACGATCGGCGAGATTAGGGCCGCATATTATCGGCAAAGTCTGACCACGCGGGGGGAATACTTCAGTGGGGGAACGGACCCGTCCGAGGAAAACGAAAGGGTTCCAATACTGTATTCATGCCTGTCACACGTTTCCAAGAATTTCTGGACTCACCTGTGAACAAGCAGGCACAAAAGCTCAGAATCAAGCTCCATGTTCCTCCGACAACGTAGGCGTAGGGAAGGATGACAGGACTTGCTGTCAGGGCAGCGTAAAGTACAGTTTCACTCATCGTTGATTCGTTCGTTGAGTCACTGCGACGAAAACGAACTGCGGTACATACCGGCAAATCACGAATTTCGAGCGCGGTTCGCAGTCTTCATAGAAGCTTCCATCGATTGGTCAGCGAAGCTTCTACGCGAGTGGATGGGGCCGCGCAATTTTCTTTCTCCGCTCGGTGCCAGCCCTAGACTAGAGGACGAAGTCTGGAGTCACGAATCGCGAATCGTTACAGGGATTCTCGTCGTTTTCTGGATCACAGCAGTCTTTAAGCGGAGCACTGATCCCATTCCGGTACGTGTAGGGAATTCTCGGCTGACACGCATCGCAAGCCTGCCGGGGGAATCCTCTCGTTGAGCTCAACTCAACGAAGCCCCCGAGATCGTCCGAGCGGCGTGGATTTTTCTCATCAACCCTCTGTGATCGGGCTCCGCTCCCGTTCACGGGCCGCTCGCAATTTGCGTTAAGAGATCTATCGGAAGAGTATTTACACGCATGATGAATTCAGAGCTATCGAACGATTCCTCTACAAATGAACACATTGGGACATGAACATCAATATCGGAGTCGGAGAGGCGTGTGGATGGTAGGTAGAAGGAATATTCTTTCCCTTCCCCCCACCTTCTGAGAACCGAGTACCATCCGTCTCCATCCTTGGCGTAAGATACAAGTGCCTCCTCGATTCGAGAACCCCACTGAATGCACACTCGGCTCAGAACCTTCGCTGATTCATTCCACGCTTATCATCCAATGATGGTTTCGTGCACTTAGAGTATTCTTTGCTCGCGATGACGAAGGAAGGACTCGTGGCCGCCGACTCGTTCGTTCGGACATCGTTTTCGGGGCTTTTCAATAACGTTGTGATTAGGTAAATGACCTTAGAGTCGAGAGATCGATGTTCTCAACGAAAACCGATCAAAACCATCTGAGTCAAAAATTCGTGCTCACGGCTAGTGAAAAGCGAAAGTATCGAGAGAGCAACCCACTCCCAAGTGTGCCTTATATTCCTCCACCCCTGCCCGAAGACGCTAAGAAAATATTACTCGTCCTAGATCTCGATGAAACGCTTATCCACGGGACGTATTGCATGCCACCCAAGTACGACTTCCGATTCGAGCTGAAACTACCGCAGAGCAAACGAGTTATGAATGTTTACGTGCTCGTTCGACCGTATCTGCAAGACTTTCTCGAATTCGCGCACAAATGGTTCGAAGTTATGGCCTATACGGCTTCTCTACCTATCTACGCAGACAAAATCCTCGACGAGATCGATCCCAAACGCTACATAAAACACCGACTCTACAGACATCACTGCGGTTTCTTCAAAGAGTATTACATCAAAGACCTGGAATTCCTCGGGAGACCGTTAAGTAGGATTCTCCTTGTCGACAATCATCCCGCGAGCTATATGGTGCAGCGAGACAACGGAATTCCCATCTACTCGTATTTGGGACAGCCGAGAGATGCGGGCCTCAAGAGTTTGGTGTCGTTCCTAGACGACGTCCGCGACGATGTCACTCCGATACCCAAAACCAGACAGTACGGCATAATTTGGAGACAGAAACTACAGACCTTTCTGGAGAACTTACGCGAAAGTGAGGAAAGTGTTAGCTAGGGTCACTGAGGACTCGAACCAATGTATTGCATGGAAATAAATCCTAGGGACTTGTTAGGGGGATATTCTGCTTAATCCCCTTGGGAGGATCTACTCGACTTACTCGAGAAATTCACTTTATTGACGATCTCATTCTGTCTGATATGGAGGAGCTACCGGATATCTTCATCATCTACAGCCGGCTCGTTTGACCATTCAGAATCATCCCATTGGTCCTCCTCCTCATCTCCCTCGTGGAAATCGTCATCGGATTCTTCCCCTTTCTCTCTCCGAAATCCAAACTCGAGCTGTTCGGCCTCCCCGCGGCGCCTTGAAACATCTCTGAAACCGAGCCTCGACCTCCGGAATTGTCTCACGAAGTCCTGCGTCGTTCTGTCTGAGGGGATCTCGGTAGCTGTACAAGGGAAAAATTGATTCCTGTATTACGCAGGGACTGAGGAGCTTGTATCGTCGCTCAATCAGATCAAGGAATCAGATTCCAATGAGGAGCATTCAGTGTAGAAAGATAACTAAATGAAATGAGATGAGCCCTTTCGTCTGACCTGTAGGCGAGAGGAAATCTGCTGGAAGTGATCTCGTTGCGAGGAGCTGGAGAATTTTTTCCCGATTCAGACCGTACACCTGAACGGAGAGAATGAAGAGAAATGATGTAAATCGCGTCTTCCCGCGTTAATCTCGAGTTATTGCTTGAGGGTACGTCCTCTTCGAATACTGAGTATACTCTTCTACTCACTTGAGGATATGTCTTGACAGGAAGTGGAGCAGGTTCCACGTCATCCAATTCGCCGCTCGCACGTAGCTTGTCCAAGATCTGGGGAGCGAGGAAGTGTGACCTCGGGATTTTTCGAAAAGAAAAGTGTTGATAAAAATAGTAGAATGTTGATATCAAACTGGCGGATCAGAGAGCTCCTGCAGTTATTCGGGATTTATCCTTGGGAAACTCAGGCGGAGGAAGCGTCCGAATGATCCAGGTTCCAGATGGATGTGCGAGGTTCCAACCTCGTCGAAGCCTCTCCGATTCCCGCCGCATTCACCGTCATTCGTTAGCTCGAGATGAATTCTCAGGAATGACGAGAGGCCCAGCCTACCCCTTCGAGGTATATGCAAGCTCGAATCAACTCGTCCAGCTACTGGTGGGAACTTACGCTATGCACGGAGTAAGACTTTGCGGTGCCGGCATAGAACACGAAATTCACTTTTGGTATGATCCCCATGTGCCGCACGCTGCTCAGCTCTCTGCGGATCTGCAAGAACGTGAGCCTTATAATCCACGACTGGGACGCTACTCCCACCAAATGATTTATGCATCACCACCAGGCCCACTAGGGGGCAGGAAGAGCGCTGGCTCCGATTGCACCAACCTTGGGCTCCAGGTCTTTCAATGTTTTAGCAGCTTCCGGATTAACCAAGCCGCTCTCATCACAAGACCAATAGACGTTGACGACGTCCAAAGTCGGCAAGATTCTAACATTATGGATTTGTATGCTGTATTGCTCGAGTTCAGTAGCGAACTCGGATCCCAGTATGTCGGTCACAGTCTCCATGTACAACGCATTCAGAACCTGGAAATGCAAGCCATATAGCCCAATTTGCCGGTGCTTCAACCTTTGATAGAATCCGAGTCTATAGGAGCGAAGTTCGTAAGTCTCCGATATTTTATGAGCGAAAAGCACTCGTCATACATATTCGAATCGAGCCTCACTCGGAATACTTCGACGATAAGAACGTTCGTGGGTTGAAGGAAAAGTTTTGCGGAGGACTTACGGACTGTCTCCTGGAGTTCTCCGGCGGGACGACATGAGCTATTTGAGGTCCTCGTTTGGCCCAATATTTTGCTCTCTTTTCGACGTAAGCTTCTTTTTCCAAGAGTTTGTAGATGAAATACCCAGGTTTGGCACAGAGTCGCGACGAGGTAGTTATACTCCGGCGCAGAACTCTAGTCGCCAGAGAAGTCATCTTCTGCTCGGGTTCAGTCCTACATGCGATCTCAAGCGTAGACAGGAAAGGACGGGACAGAACTCAGGAGGAACCCATCACAGACCCGGGGTTGGACCGTAGATTTTCCGGACAGAGAAACACTCTTTCTACACAGATAGGTAGCCTGCGCGATCGCATCGAGCATCAGTTCCAAGATTCGAAAACACATGTGCGGAGAGAAACGAGTAAACACAGGATACAAGCGCCTTTCTTCAGATGTCTCGGATGAAGCCGATCGCTGAGCGATTCCCTTGCTTTCGTGCCCCGAATTCCCGAGTGATGATGAGCCGTGCGGAGCGACGATGAAGTCGGGAAGTATCGTGTGTTCCAGCCGAATCTTCTGGAGCCAAACTGTACACTCATTACTCGTCTCTCTTCTTCTCCATAGCTCTCAAGTCCCCCCCATATCATATCCGCTCCCGCCCTCACGATCTTGCCGGGCAAGGCGGATAATCGGCTCTCTCAGTGACACGGACTTCATTAGGCTATGATCACTTTATTCAGTCAATTTATTCCCTTATATGTACATGGCTAGAGGCATTCAATTCATACCACGATCAGGCGTCCATGGAGTTCACGAGAGGACGGATCGTTTGATTGGCCTGAAGTCTGAGCACCTCCCCCCTCCCCTCTGACAGCTATGCCCATCAGTCCTACGGTCTTGAAGGATTTTGTTCCGACGAAATATCGCATTTATCGTCCGTGACCCAAGGTTGATCCTCTCGAGGGTATGGCTCTTCGAACCACACGTGGTTTCGCGGCCGTATTCTTCTCTGCAGTCGGCAAACTGTGAGGAAAAACCCAAACCAACGAATAAGCCTATGCAGGCCGAGATCTCGGTCAGAGAGAGAAAAAAATTCTGAGGTTCCTCTACGTCAACGTTGAAGTTGATTCTCCTGGGTTCCACGAAGCGTTCTCGGTGCGGAGTCGCACAATAAGTTATCTCCTCATCGATGAGCTTGATCGAGCTTGCCTCGACTCGCTGCTTCAGCCAATCCATTCTACGGCAGTCCAGTGGGTTATCTGGGAGTAGAGAGAACATCGTTACATCGGGCCACAAACTCTATAACTTAGTGGAGTCTCCCTCGGGCGCTTCACTCCCCGACGTCACGGCTGAGATCCGCAGAGATAACCGCAGATTCCTGGGAGCACCTCGAATCTCGACCTTGCTTCCGGCGTTCCTCTCCCAAAGAGGTTCTACATTAAGAGAAATTCTCTCACGACCGCGATCGGGATGATTTTTAAGGACCGGTCGTGAGGCTCCTTGAGGTCGACCTCGAGCCCACCCGATCGAGAAGTTCAATGAAATTCCGTTGATGTGCGCTTAGGATCCCTCCAAGGGATGACTCTATGAGTTTTCTTCTACGGTACGAATTATAAAGTCTCTCATGAGTTGAACACGATGCCGCCCCCCTTTTTCTAGTATATCCGAGAAACCGCCTCGTCGTTCGCTCTCCTCCCACTTCTTCTTACCGAAAAGCGTCAACTGGAGGGGACGATCTCCGAGCGCTTCCTTCGGGAAGTACTCGATGTTGTTCGACGCGAGGTCTAGCTCCCTCAATCTCGGCAGTTTGGTCATGAAATCTGGGCTGACGCTGCTGATACCGCTCGATCTGACAGTCAGTTTCTCGAGTTCGTCGGCCTGCTGTAGGAGCATTCCCCCGCTGAGCACCGTCGTCTCCAAGTCAATCATGTAGACTCGCAGGACCTTCAATTTTCTCAAATTCCGGAGCCCTCTTACTGAAAGGTAGAAGATAGGTTCAGAACTGATCCGATATTATAAGCTCACGCAGCCTCGAATTCGAGAATCAGTGTGTTAAATTCGAGGTTCCGATTGGCGAGGTCAAGAATCAGGCTTACTGTCGAAATTGCTGCAGTTGAAAATGGATAAAGCTCTCAGTCCGGGAAGATCTCCGAGAAAGTTTATGTTGCTTTGACCCACGAAGTGCACCGTCTCGACATTGGAGCTGTTTGAGAGAGGATTTCGTTAGCGTTTTTCGAATTACCGGGCAATGATCGCGAAACACTCGAGCGCATCCGATCGGGATGGACCTTTACGCGAAATGCCGGACAATAACCGGAACTAGCCATGGAACGCCCCGGCCCCCGTCGGTGGCGGCATCTGGGGTCCGGAACATGGCACCTCGATAGCGATCAGAATTTCGGTCGCTTACCTCATTGCGGAAGCAAATGCCGGGAAGTCGATCGTGACATTCTGAAAACCCCAAAATACGAATGGACATTCGGGGGGTTTGCCGTCGTAGATGAAATCCTTGATTATGAAAGTCTTCATTGAGAGTTTGCACAGGGGAGAGAACGGTGTCTTCCAAGAGGCTCCCGACTGTACCGAGTCCTGCAATGAGGGATACGCGGCTTTAGGTCCGCAGCTCACCTCACACGAACATATGCCGATGATGTTTGTTTGGGAGGATTCTCACTTTGACATCGCTGTTACGGTCCTTCCATTTGAGCTCGCCGTGCAGCATAAATTCCTGAGAAGGAGGAGATTCGGATCGTTCGAAGTTATTCAGACCCTCTTGCGCGGGCTGCTCGAGACTTGGGACGGCGAATCTAGGAGACAGGAGCCAAACGCCGAGCCACCCAACGAAACTTCCTAATTATTCTCCACTACTCACGTGAATTTTGACTCCGCCGAAGAGCTCAGCGAACTTGGAAGAAGTTTCCGGTGTCCATCGCGTAGCATCACAGCGAACACGCATTCCCACCGTCGAGATGAACCGGCAGAAGCATCCGAGCGAATGTACAATATTTTTCTCGGGACATTCTGCGGTACTTCCAGTCACCAGGACGGCTGTCAGCAGAGCCCCCAGCAGAGCAGAGCGGGTCCTGGGGAGGATATTCGGGTGATTTCGGGTGCTCATTGCGAGATGATTTCTTTGCGCTGGAGCTCTTGAGAATTTTCTCAGTCTAGGAACCAGCTCGTCACTCTCCTACGAATGGAGTGACCTCGACTTGATTTACCGCGGGCCGCGCGATAATTGGAGAAAACATACTGACAATCTAACCAGCTCTAACGCAGCTCTACTACTAGGTTTCTCTCTGATTCGGGGCTCTCCAGGCGGCAAATATATATTTTCCTTTTCTGAGGAAATCTTCGATGACCATGTTCCGAAGGGCGATTCTACCGATGACCTCTCTTGATCATTGGGTCGCATCTCGATTGGCCGCCTTATTCAGAAAGCGATCTGCTCCTACCCTCAAATATTAAAGCAATAACGAGTCTGTGCGATCATCTATTTTGTTTTTCTTCGGATTGGAACGCTAGTCCCCTCCGATACATAGGGATGGGCAATCCCGGAAATCGTGGCTTTCGCAGTCGTCTAGAGTCTAGAGCAATTATCATTATACGGAGAGAGCTCATCGATAGAACAACTTTCGGAAATATTCAACTCCGCGTCCTTATTATCGTGGAAAAACCACCCGCTCCGCCAAGAAAAACAGAATCTAAGACGTACTCACATTTCTGTCGCTTGTTTTTCGCTCCTTTCTTTTTTCTGAGGAAGGCTCGTTTGGACTTCTGACGCCTCAGTGGTCACTCACGCCTCCCTTTTCGCGGAACGCCTCGTCAAGAAAGTTTTCTCTCACTCACTTTCCTCAGAAGAACTGAAGTTTAACGCCATGCACCGACGCAATAGGGTTTTCAACCGGACAGAATCCTCAGTCGCGGAGAGTTCGCTCACCGGAGCAACTCGCAGTCGGGAATTCCCCCGAATCGTTCTTCATTTCTCCGGGGACCGAGCATCCAGGTGTGTTCCGCAAACGGGGATGAAGACCCTTGGAATTGGGTCTTCTCCGGGCCGACAAGTCAGTCAGCTGTTCGCTTCACAATCGAAAGAGAAAGAGACACGAAGAGAGGGACCGTTCCGCTTCGGCACTATTTTCTTCAGCGCTCGGTCCCTATGAGGCCAAAAAGGATCACGGATCTTGCACCGATGGAGAGGGCCCGGCGACCGGGTGAGGGGAGGGAGCTCGCGCACCGCGGCTTCACATAGTCTGAGCCAAACAGAGCGCGCAGGACCTGAGCCCGCCACGAAGTGATATCGTCCAATCTTCTTTCGCAATTCCAATTTTTCGAGCGCCGCGATTGAAGCATCGTAAAAAGACTTTAAGCAGCTCATGGTGGTTTTCTGTCGCGCTTCCGAGTCCTTCGAACCGCCGATTTTCCGAAAGCTCTGATATTTGTAAGAAGCTTCCGGGGCCGTGGTTCTCCGATCCCTGAATTGTCAAAGGCACGTGGGAGCGAGACTTGCTCGGCTCGTACCTTCGGTCTCAGAAAAAAACATAAGTTATCCGAAGTTGAAGAAAGCTTTCCGACTACAATCAAGCAGCGATTCACTTGTCAGAAGAAATGATAGAACACTTCCTCCCGGCAAGGACGGAGGCAAGCGACGAACCCTCCAAAGTTGGTCGTTGACGCTGATCCAAAAAAAATGCGCAGGAACTACTCGACTATTTCACGGACCAAATATCCGCCAAGTGTTGACTTTTTATTTCTGAAGAAGATCTTCGATCGCATCCTATTCCGATGACTCGCTCGCACAAGGAACAGTCAGTGCTCATGCTTCGTCAGATGGATATGCACACGGGAAATCAGCGGCGGCGCTGGCGTCCAAGACAGGTAGTTTTACAAGATGTCCTGATGGGCATTTCCTTCATCATGTAAGCTCCGCGACAGCGTCAAGGGTCAAGGGCCAGATCCGAGGATATGCAAAGAATTCCTCCGGTAGGAATGAGGTATGCTCCCCATATACTACGGAGCTCGATTTCTCAGACGGTCGCTCGAAGTTGTGGTTTCTCAGTTCAGCTCAACGGTTCCTCGTTGGGCCCATCGGCGCCGAGTGCTTAGTTGCATTTTCAAACGTGGTCGATTCGGACTTGAGACTCTTTCGGGAGAAAGTCGAGGTCTACCGCGCGGGAGTCTTTTAAAAAATGCCGATCGGTCATGCATTCGCGGGTATCGTGAAAATCGCTCCGCCGGTATCCTTCCACTCCGGATCGTAGCTCCACCAATAATACTGCTCCAGTCAAGGATCGTCCGCGGAGCATCACAGGGAGCCTAGTCGGATGGGGAGAACAATGACACTCACATGATTTCATTTCCCCGATGGCAAACCACGGATAGTAACATTATCGTCGGCAAGAATCGTCGGTTGATTTCCGCTTAACGATGCTGTCTACCGCATCAATCGATGCGCCATGCCGGCTTCCGAAATATCGTTCGCTCTGTTTAGCCGCTACAATCGCATCAGCCGATGAGAACGCCGGAGTGGCGAGTCCTCGCTGTTCTGTCCAGGAAAGGATTCGAGCTCTTGATTTTATCCGGTGCAGGCTACCTCGTGTACCTATGTAAAGCGAGCCTCCAAACGGAAGATTCATGTTTCCGTCAATCAGCACCAGAGAAGATAGCCAGCTCGAGGAGAGAGGGAAGGAACCCTTGTGGAGCCCGACGGGAGTCGAATAGGGGGATACCTTCAGGAATGGAACAGGCATCAATTCCAGGGGCTCCAAGCTTCGTGAGGATTCCCCACATCAGGAGTGCTTCGCGGAGCATCTGTCGAGTTGATTGCCAACACTGATCGTTCTTTTTCCGTTATTTTGCTGATTGGATAGAACTCGTCCCGCCCAATTCGTCACCCGCAATAACGTCGGTCGATTCACTATTTCCGAGGCCATCGTACAGCCATTCGATTTGCGGAGGGTCCTTTGCTCGTTGTCGAGTTGATCGATTGTGAATCGGATCCGTACTTGACGCTCGTTGCGTGATCGATCGATACAAGATACCCTGCTTGGATCATTTGTACACGGCGAGTGTCTGTTGTTGGCTGCAAGGAAGTCGGATTGTCGGATCTTCGTCCGTCAGAAAATCGCCGCTACTCCACTGGCCAGTGCTCGATTCGCTGAAGGAATTTCACGATACTAAATTCCTCGCTTGTGCAGCTCATGCATCGACGCCTCGGAGGGGCTCACCCAGTACAGCCGAATAAGAGGAGAGGATTCAAACGCACCTTGATAGAACAAATTCTACAATCGATTTGCTGATTCCCCAGCGTCACATTTTCACGTACGTCGGTTCATTGCCTGGAGAAAATGAGCCCGGACGACACGGCCCATGATCGGGTGAACGGTTATAGCGAGGAGAGATTTCGTTCGCCGCGAGATGGTCACGGGCAACCCGCGATATTTCAATGGCATACGGTCAAATAATAATATTCCACTCGGAGAAGGAAAAATCCGGCTCGGCGGAGCTCTTTCTTTATTTCGCATCATTTCTCCGGCTGCACGAGCCAGCGAGAACTCGTGATCTCTTAAGGTTGGACTTTCTGACTCGCCCCAGTTCCACTCACTGCTTCTCCAATATCCCCTGATCCCTGGTCATTTTCCGGTGAGGCAGAGCTAGCCGCTCTTCGAGAATCTTCACGCGGTATTCGGCGTCGGGAGCTGGGCATGCAAGGCTCACATCAGTCTATTGCCCTGTATCGGCAAATCGCAATAATACGGGGAGCCGAATCTGCTCCTGGATGGCAGCCGCCAATCCATCTCATGTCTGTTTCAGACAGTGGCGAATCCAGGATTTTTTTCGAGAGGGGCGGTCAATGTATTTTGGGGGGTAGGCGGTTCGGGCTCCGGATGCTCCTTTGATACGGGAGGTATAGGAAGATCGAAGAACTACGGGGGATCCGCCACTGGTTTCAGAGAACTCCCTCGATGAAGGTCCCTATCGAGGGGCCATGAAGGTCGAGCGGCCATATGTTGTTGAGATGGGATCGGAGGCTAGGGCCATGCTCAAACCGATGCCGTTCTCTCAGATTCAGGAAAACCTCGGGACTCACTTAGGCCCTGATTCCGACAAATCGTTCAATGGTTTTTCCGATCGGCCTTACATGGTGCCGATGGTATTCCCTCTTCCGTAGGGGAGGTCAGGGGTTACCGGAGGTTGTCTACGCGGTCAATGGTTGCATGACATTTGTCGCCGCAAACTCTGAACAACCGGGTGTGGCACCATCCAGACATACGTCGACATATGTCGACGGCAATCCGATAAGTGAGCAAACGAACGCTGCATGTCACTGAGCGTGTCAATCGTGCGCAAGTCTAGCTTCAGTAAGGAATCTTCTCATACGTACTCCCAGCCGGATTTCCGCATGGATCGATTCCAGGTATGCGGCACCCCCGAGTCTTGAAACAGGATACGAGGGCATGCGCATGACGTGCACGCACAACGCACACGCCTCCGACAAGCCTTCACGTCCGAACTCGAGAGTTTTTCCGACTTTCATTTCCTGTGATGAATCCGTTACCGCCAGGGCTGCAGATCACACATTGAAATGGGCAATCCTGAACGGATCCGCCACGGATGCCGCTTCGAGGCTTGTGGCTCGGGTTTTACGCACGTGGAGCTTCGGCTGGAGTCCTGCGGCCTATGACAGTGCTTCGCCTGGGTGAGGCTCCAGCTGAACACGCTCCATCGCCTTCTCTGAGGCCGTGCTGGGAACCACTTGAGTACCTCCCCTCGAGCGATTTCATTGTCCTGTTCGGGTTCCTCATGAGACCGCCACGGCTAGCTTCGGCCGCCAGGGCTTTGAGCGTCACCACGCGACTTCTCGAGGTCCGAACCAGGTCACTACCCTCGTTTTCCGGCGTATCTGCATTCCGGACGACTCTTTACTTCGAGCCATTCCGCAGACACGGTACTCCGGTTTCCGAGCCGCGATGAATATCGCAAGCCCGTTGAAACCGACACCTATCAGCAGAATTCCCGCCTGGGGATCTCTGGCGTCGGCGCGTCGTGCTGACTCCGTCAGGTACGTTCCGTATCCGATTCTCGCGGACCCAGTTACGGGAGCCTCTCCGTTCTCGGTCACTCGGAGGACCTGGCTCTTCTCGGTCAGATTCCTGCAATGAGAGCGGAGATCTATCAGTATCCCTCTCTGCAGATAAAGAGAGCGCCTTCTGCACGAGATTTCTTTCAGTGAGCCGGTTTTTATGAATGGATTGTGGCAGGTCGTTATATCACGATTTCTCAATGAGATTCACCAGGTCATCATGTTCATGGAACTGTACGAATATAGAGGCATCCGAAAACATATTTCGCACAACACATACCTAAGGAGCTTCTCGGGAAAGCCAACTTCCGAGGCGGATCTCAGGCCGAAGTCTGAAGAGGGCTCCTAGAGGGCAGAGGGGGCGAACTTAGTGACAATCTACGATGGGTAGGAGAGCAAGCATCCATACAAGCGGTTATCAGCGTTGTGAAATTCTCATCTGTACTCAGAGTAGCAAGTACTAAACTCTCATCAGTATGAAGTTGTATCAGCAGGGACAACTTTCCCTCACTCACCCGGCGTCCTGGAGCTCTCAACGAGTCGACTACGAATTATTCCGAGCCTCCGATCTTCAACTGCCGTCGCCGCGGAACACCTGAGAAGAATCGAGATATTTCTAGCTCACCGTAGTATATAGGCGGTGATTCCTTCGCCTCGATCGGTCAGAATAAGGTTATCATCTGAACTCAGATAGCAAGTACTCAATATTTGGGTTGTCATCAATTCAGCTTCTACTCGATCGTGATTTCGTGAACAGCTCATTTTCAGCTTACCGTGCAAAATTACGTGCGGACGTGTGCGCTTCCAGGATCAGGCTGCAATGGACGGATATTTGTTTTAGCGGTATGCTCGGTCGCTCTGAGGGGAGAATCATCTAATGAATCGGATCAGATAAATTCCAAACATCAAATCACAGGATTTGTCATATGTCCCTATCTTGAAAAATCATCACGAACTTCTGAATCGATCGACTGTACACCGACAATGGCATACTTGTGCTCAACGATACTCACAATCGACGAATTCTTCAACGGCGGAAATCTAGCGGTGGTTTTGAGCGAGCGACGCATCTTTCCGAGAATCTTGGGCATCCGAGTCTTTCGCAGCGAGAACTCTGTCGTCCCAGCACTCGCGGGAATCCTCGATAGCTTGGCCTGCCGCTAGGCGGGAGCCAGACTGTCCCTCGATGAAGCTGCAGTGGAGGAAGCAACGCTCTAGAAAATTTCTTCAAATCAAGGGCAGAATTCTGCTGATGAAGAGAGCTTCGATCAGTTGAAGTGTGTCATCCTACGTCAGTAGTAGCAAGTAATTGGTCATCAGATGTACAAATGAATTCAGCACGTGGCACCAGCCATGATGCTTTCGAGAAAACGCGCCACGTGCCGCTCGAACGAAATCACTTGAGCGAGGAGAAGTCATACCTTGACCAGGATGTTCGCTTGTCCTTCATGGGCTCATTCTGGCCATGGGGGGCTACCGGATCTCCGCATTTTTGCAGACATCGAAGGATATTACGAGCGATTTAAACGACGCATCGGGAGAGTTTTCACCACTCTGACTCCGGGATGGACGGCGACAGCGCGGGAATTCGCGAAAAGCAGCATCTCTCGGCGGTTCTCCGAAGAGCTCTCCGGCGAACAAGGGATCACACGGAAGTTCAGGAAAATTCGGAGCCACCACGTGCGTCTTCTCCGACCCGTACGTGCCCGACGGCCGCTTGGAAAGACTTGTTGGGGGCGACAGCGCCGTTTATAACCGACTGTAGTTGGGTGAGGGCGCGGAGAGCGCGGTAAATTCAAAAAAGGCGCGGTTTCAGACTACGCTTCTTAGTGAGACAATCTCTTCTTGTCGCACGGAGACGGCGTGGAGCTCAATCTGTTTGAGCGACGGTGCAAGAAGAAAGTGAACTCCCCTGGCGTTCCTAAGGGATTTCCCAAGCTCCCTTCTCATGAATCTTGGAAACTCGCCGGCGAGTACATACCGTGGAGGGAATAATAGCACGGCCCGCCGCTCACCCGTGAGAACAGCTGATTGGGGCGCGAAACCCTAAGCAGAGGAATCCTCTGCGGTGCGTGAAAAGCATGCTTTGATGTCGTGCCAATGTTCCTGAAAGTTGGATCTCCTCTCGAGTTGACACCCACGGTGCTGCAGGTTCTCAGTAAAAACGGAGTCAAAACGGCTGAGCAGCTTCTGAGGAGGGACCCGCATTCCCTGCCGCTAGACACCTCGTTGGTGCTCAATCTCCAGCGGAAAATCTACTCCAAAATCGTGCTCGAGCCTCAAACTTTGTCGCAGCTCTACCAGCGAGCTGTGGACAATCAAGCCATCATTTCGACAGGGGATCGGAATGTTGATGAACTCCTCGGCGGTGGATTCTTCACTGGAGAACATGTCGACATCTGCGGTGATCCTGACGTACGGTCGAAATTCTGTCTTCGGAGCATGAGTGAGCTCGTCAGAGAAGATCCAGGTGCTTCCGTCGTGTACGTCGACAGCGGCTCGAACTTCCATCCGGAGGAGATGGTTGAAGTTTTTAAAAGCGATCTAGAGCACCTGAATCGAGTGCAAGTTGTGTTCCCGAGTGGCATTTCCGAGTTATTGACGTTCCTCGATCAGACCCATCTCGGTCGACTCAGACCGAGAATGATTGTGATAAATGCCTTCGTGGATATTGTTAAACCCTTCATGATCAATAACGACCCCATAGCAGCGCTAGGACTGCTGAACCATGTGGCTGCGACGATCCGCAGTTTGGCTGTACATTTGAAACTGTCTCTCTTGACGACCAACGACTTTATCAATGACGAGCCCGCTTTGGGTAAGATGTGGTTAGGCTCGCCGCATATGCGAATAGCGGTTAAGGGTCTCGGAGACGTCGTAGTCCTGAAAAGTACACGTAAAACGTTGGCAGGAGGGACGGGTGAAGCCGGGTGCTCTTGAAGACTTCGATAGCGACTCTTCCAGAATAAAGGACGATAAGCTTAGGTCGCTAAGCGGACACATGGGTTCTTCCCTTCCTCCCTGACTTGTGTTTTCATGGGTACGCCCAGGTTCGCGTGGATTCAATTTCATCCCGTGGACCCGACATATGCACACGAAGACAGAATCTGTTCCGGGTGTGTTTTCCGCCAATATCGACTCTATTTTTCTCATATTCGGGAGGATGGACGGTCTCCATGGATATCGCGAGGAACTTTTTTTTTTCATTTCGAGAATTCCTTGTCTAACTGATGAATCTTCGATCAAAGATAATAACCCATGCGAACCTCCAGCATCGGAACGCACGTGGTCCCCGTGCGAACGTTATCAAACGAGGTCCGGATTCTGGAACAGGTCACGGGAGGCCGAATTTTTCGGGTATATTTGGACAATTCGCCTGCCTGACATCGACGAAGGAGAGATTAATTTCATTCTTCTCGATAATTTTATCGAGTTTTCCGCTTAGACTCCCAATTTTGTCGGGTTTCCGTCCGCCGAAGTAATAGACGCCTGCCGAAGAAAGGGGAAAGATTCTCAACCTGGCTCTCTTCCCGGCCGGGCGTTCTCCGTTGCGGAGCGGTTATCGGCATTCGGTCCCGCTTGTCCTCTCGAAATTCTGAATTTTCACCGTCCAGCACTTCGTATGAATCGGAGGAGTCTCGCCGAACTCACCTTGAGCTTCTGACCCCATAAGAGCATAGAGCACGATAAAGTTGTCGTAATCAGTGTCGAGAATCGTGAGAGCAACTGTGTGGACTACGGATGGATTTGGAGAGGAAAAGGTCCGTTCTTAGTCTCTTAGCGCTCGTCTTTAGCGTCAGCGAAATACTTATGTGATGAATGATGAGGTTCGGTACTGGTGGATTGACGCACCGTCATTTTCGAAGACAAACTTCGCTTTCTCCGCAGCATTCTCTTTCACATCCATCACGTGACTCAAAACTCGATTGCTGGAAAAACGTATATTTCTGTTTCATCGGACGTAGTCATCAACATACATTCCGGAATGAAATGAGACAACTCGGGTGCGGTCTTAGGTCTGAGGACTAGCGATGTCGATTCCTAGGAGAACTCGGTCGAGACGAGTAACTGAGGACCAACAGACTCACCCTCCTACTTCGTAGTAGAACGTTGTTCGGTACAGGTCCCCAACCTTGTGCAGAAAATGAGCCACAGTACATGCAGAGTCTTTATCGAAGAGACCTGCGGTTCGAGTCCATCCATACCAGATGCCGCCGATCTAGCGAAAATTTCAGGTATTCGGGAATCGATTTCGGACAAACTTGAGTATAGGTATACAGTGAGATCAGTCTGCTGAGACCACCCGAACGGAAGCCGAAATGCGATCTCACGACTTGGGTTGTCACATTGGGCAGGTCCTCCAGGATGGGAGCCTATTGCTCCGGAGCCCGGAGAGTTTGCTCCCATCATGAGGTTGGTCTTCGCCTCTTGTTTCACTGTAGCTAGTCCCGAGCTGATGGACTCGAGAATCGGCTCGCCCCATTCCGAGAAGGCATCCGACGAGCCTGAACATTTCGGGAAAGTGTCGAAATCGGATTCGCGTTTACCTTTTCTGCCTGAAATTCCTTCATCGGGAGTATCAAGTTCGCGCTCCTCACCAAATCCAGCAGGAAGCTGAGCGTTATCGAAGCTATGATCTTCGAGGAAAGCATTCTGAGCATCCTTTCCCGCTGGTTGAAGACTCCGGACGACTCGCTTCTGGGACTTACAACGACGCACCGACTTGTTCCTCTCGATCGCTGAAGGTTTGCCCAAGGATGACACAATACTTCTCGTTGATCGAGATCAATTGATTCCGAAGCTCGAAAATCGTTCGAGGCGAGCTAGCCCTGTGCAGAGGCAGTCCCATTAGCGTCGGATATGAATCTGAATTCCAAGGGGCCCATTGGAATTTGCATTCACTGATTTTATCCGACCATTTCGAATCCTAGTCTTGTATCGTTGAACAAGTCTGAATAAACTCAATCGCGCCATCAAAGGTTTTCGCCCGATCTGATATAATCCACGGAATGACTCGCTCGATCTGTGAGCAATCGAAACCCGAGACCAAGGCTTCACCCAGGTGATCAGACTCGGATAGGCGAAAGCCCAAGCCGGATAGGCGAATCCCATAACGTGCTCTCTGGGAGCGATTCGAGTCCGTGCGAGAAGTCTAAACAGAATTCCTCTGTAGACCCGAATCGAGAGCTAGTCTTTTCCGTCACGGATTTGTTCAACGAAGCGGGTGAGATGTGCAAGAGCACTCGTCAGATGCAGTATATGTATTTCTATCCGGAGCAGTCCAATCTTATCTATCATTGAAGAGGCACAAAACATGTTGCGAAGGGAGGGAATTTTTAGTCCGTTTTCAGCGGAATATATTGTAGGCATGGTTGAGTGAATCACTCGGAACAATGAAAATCGATCCCATCGTCCATGATGATCAAGTTCGTCAAGCGGTAAGTGTGATGTTCGAGCAGTCCGTCTGGTAGACTTTCATGAAGGGAAGATTTATTTCGTTTCTTTCGATCATCTTGTCGAGTCTTTCCTGTAGACCATCGATCACTTTTCGCTGGCGACCCCCGAAATAATACACTCCTGGGGGGAGATTGAATCGTTTGAGACATACATAAACTCTTAACCTGGACTCAATTCCTAAGGAGCGGTGCTAATCGCTAGAAAGAGATCATTTAAGTTCGCGCCTCACCTTCAGTTTTGGAGCCGATCAATGCGTATAACATGAGGTACGTCTCGTAGTCAGTATCGAGGATCGTCATAGCCACCGTGTGGACTGGAAAGGTCGTGAGTTACGTCAGCTTGAGCATCATCGTGCTCCGATCTTCGATTCAGGATACTACGCTTGCCAATAAAAGCAGAGAAAGAATTTCGCCGAAACTGACTTGTTCTCGATACATACCGTCATTTTCAAAAACGAATCTTGCCCTCTCTGACATATCGTCAGTGATCTCCATAACGTGTCGAGATATTCCCCCGCTGAGGGAGTGTGTTCGGGGTCAGGACGAGATCATCATTTGCTTAATAAAGTTGCAAGGTATCAAACCTAAGCTCACTTGTCCAGCTCGTAAGCGAAAGTTGTTCTGTAATGGTCGCCGCTCCTGTGCATGAATATCGCCGCGGAGCAAGCCGCGGCTTGGTGAAACATGCCCGCTGTCCGGAACCACCCGTACCATACACCGTAAATCTGGTCGAGACAACGAGAGTTGGAGTACCGCGTGGGGATTTCTAGTCTCTCACAATGTCGGCCTCGGAGGGAACAGCCGAAGCCCCTCGAGACTGAGCCCGGCTCCATAATATCTTGTGGTGGAACGAAACCCTCAAATCGCCCAGCCTATATCGTCACAATGCAACTACTGATGATGGAACTTTTCCTCACTTTCTCCGGCGTGAAGTTCTCCATTGGAATCATCAGGTTCTCAGATGTCACGACTGCGGATAGGAGGCTGAGGGTCACAAAAAATATATTCCTACGGGGAATCATCTTCTCAGATAGGTCACTGCGCTGACGCCGAGGCGGACACGTCGATTCCCACAGAGAAGTGTACGCTACGGGCATGAAAAGCTCTCATTCAGCTTTTGATAAGCATCTTGAGCTCTCAAAACTCCGTCGTTGAAAGCCCCTCTGATGGTATCTGAAGTCCTTATGAATAACCTGGTCTCCTATTGTCGGACAGTCTATCACTTGTTGTCAAACTTAATCCATTCCTTCGATTCGACTGGAGGGCTTCCAAAAGATCTGAGCCAGGTCGAAGAAGGAGATCGAAGGGCCGCGTGCCTAGAGTCCGAGTTGCGTTCGGGTTTTGGTTGTACCGATCGGTGCTGTGATACTAAATAACGCGGGAATCTCAGTCTCGGTCTGTCTGTTGGGGGAAAATCCTCATCGGTGTTCCTCATCGGTGATCCCCCTGCAACCACGACGCCGGTTCCCGGAATGGTATCGATGTGTGCCTCGATGTCGCAGCAAGTCGCATGCGTACGTTTTCGAAATTCCAGAACTCGGTGAACACGGACGTCATTCACGACCGAGGGTCGGCCTCCCTCATCTACTCAGTTTAGGCAAAAATGCGGCCAGCTATCAAACTCACACAGTCAATTAAAACTATGAGAGGCTTCCGATAGCGAGACTTTCGGTATCCTTGCGAAAACTTACTGCACATGAGGAGGACTCAGGCGTGGAGATGCTTATTGACAAGCGGAGACAGCCTCCGAGATCGGAGAGAGGATCTCGTCATCCTAGCGCCGGCACCGCGCCGACGGTTTCACGTCGATATATCATGTATCGAATGAAGAATAGAATACGTTCCTAAGAGAAGAATGAGCAATTCACTTAGGTACATTACTTTATTGAATGGCTTCCCCTTTGGGAATTCTATATTTTTAAAAAGTGACATTAAAGTAGAAAAGTTAAACGCTCTCTAATGACCAGACTCTTAGACAGGGTCGACACGATGCTTGAGATTCATGTTCGTGCTGAGAAAAGCTTATGGCACTTCGGAATATCCGGGAAGCGAGCATTACACTCCCAGACAGGGCATCTTCGGCTTCATATCTTTGTGGCATTCAACAAGTGAAAGGACAATCGATGTCCGCACCCTCCAGAGACTTTCAGAGGTGAAGAATATCTGCGTCCGTATCTGACTGGACAGTTCTCGAGAGGAAGCTTCCCATTCGATTTCCCTGAGTTGAGAGTTTCTCAAGGATCCACGAAGGATACCATGATGTAGCGAGTACCGCTCGTCGTGGTTAGGCCCTCATGATAATGAGTCAAGCGTCCAGGATGCAGAAGGCCCCATCCAGACGGAGATGAGGTCACCGAACAATTCTGCCGGATGAAATGGCTACCACCGCCGGTGAAGTCTTTCCCAGCTTGATTCAGGGCCAGATTCAGAGTATACGTTGAGGCATCGTGATGAGGCTTCAATGACGGCTGCTCATCGGGTCGGTATCGAACGACGAAATTCATTATCGCTTTCGGAGGGTCGTGATAGTAGCCAGTGAACACGTGCTCTTGGACGGGTCTCACGTATTCCCGGAGGAAGAAGAGCCATTGCGGCTCCAAACCGACTTGTTTCATGTGGATGTCCCGAGTTGGCACGTTCTCGTATCCTCCGGCGAGTCGAGGGTCCTGATAGGGGGGAATCCGTCTGAGATATTCTCTTTCATGTTTTCCCCGAGGGGAGATCGTCACAATTTTCCTACTCAGCAATTACCGAATTGGTGCCGTCGGACCAACCACCGTGGTTCTCCATTATCTCAATGAGATGTGTGCAAAACGTCGGACTTGCCAACGGGAACCAGAAGACGTCATGACAGGGCTGAGGGAGAGAAAAAGCATCTGAGCTTCCGGGGGTAGCCCACGCCATCGGACGCAATGGATTTGGGAGAATCTCCGGACTCGAATGGTGTTTGGCGCTGAACTTACTTGACGCAGAACCCCGGTGTGATTGCTGAATATATCTTTGTACTCTTTGTGGATGTAACGTAGAGCCCAGGCGAACTGGTTGTTGTAGATTTCGTAGAAATCAGGGTGCTTCTTACTAGTGTCGAAGTGCTCTGAATTTATCAGAAACCCGAAGTCTTCCATGTTGTCGACATACATGAATATTCCCTGGAGGAGACCAAATCCCGTTAATTGGACTCATCTTTGCTTTCGTCACAGGACGAAGCCTTCGAACGAACCCGTCACGGACGAACCCGTCAGACTCACCCTCTCGCGTAGGTTCTTGCAAAGAGCCATGTCCGGATCCAAGGCTCCGTTGACGTAACTCAGAGGCTTCTTGCTGAATACTGATGCTTTGATGAGATACACTTCTCCGATGTACGGGACATTCCAAATACCCCTGAGAACAATCATTGGTCGCATTATTTCTGGATGATGGCCCGATCAGGGAGAAGATCAATGGGACACGACGTCCTCCCTGCTCGCACCCAGATCCGGCCCCATCCCATCGACCGAGGATGTTTTGATCGACGCTCGAGTATTGCTCATGATCAGACATGGAGCCCTGGAGAGAATATGATTATTATTCATCCGATGAACTCACTTTTTCTCGCCCTTGACAATCTCCATGTAGTCGTGGCTCCGTGCATAGAAACCTTCCGACGTGAGGGCGCCCCAGAAGTTCGACCAAGCCTGACCGGTTCGCATGACCAGGGGAGCGATAAAATTCCGGTCCTTCGCAATCAAGTGTTGAAGAACCTACGCGAGGAGAGAGAATGTTCAGTACAAGCGTGAATCTAATTTCGAATAAGTTCGCTGAAGGATGGGGAAATCTTGTCTGTTGACTCAACTCAGGGACCATACCTTGCGATTCGTGAGGTGTACTCGGGAATCCAGATTCAGGTAGAAGTCGCAAGCGTCCAAGAGGCAAACTTCCCTGGAAATCGGCGGAATTTCGGGTAGAATTGTGTCGTACCAGAGATTATACCGAAGATCCTGGCCACTGGCAGAGGCAGAGAACGGGGAGGAGACTGGATCCGAATCGATCAGCGAGTACTCACAGTGCTCGTTCTCTCGCTTTCCACTCCAGCAAATCGTCGGTCGAAGTCATCTCGAGTTTCGCGTAACTCGCGGCTCCATTTTCTACGAACTGTCTTAAACGTTCGTTGTGGTAGTCGACGCCGCGGTGGATGAATAAGGAAATTTTTTCTTTCGGATAATCGAGTTCGATGAAGTGATCCAAGAATTCGTCGAAGAATGGGGTTGCCTCCTCGATGAAAATTCCCACCGTCACTTGCGGCATCTGGAATCCGATTGACTGGATTAAGAGGGAGGCGAATAGCTTGATAGCTGGCTTCGGGAAAGAGTAAAACGGGGTTGAGTACTCCACGAAGAGTGAGAGATGGAATAGTCGGCCCAGGGAGAAATCCTCGACGAAATTCCGAACGCGAGTGCTCACCGTATCCGTGCCGAGCGTTATTCGGTCTTCACAGACGAGACATCCTTCGCCATTCTTCCATGCGCCCGCTAGGTAATTTGCGAGTGAGTTCAGCGCTACCTGAGGGTGGATCCCACAGTGAGAGCAACCACTCTGATAAGCTGCTTATCGATTCTGGTTTCATCGACCACTATCAATAGATAAACTGTAGTAGAACAGCGAGAAGACCGACCTTCGATGGTCCGTTACCGTGGATGACAATCGGTTCTGTTCCGTAAGCGGTGTTCTTCACCTTGGGGTAAGCATCCTCTGATATGCTCACGTCGCCGACCGCTCCATTGAGGTTTTGGAAAATTGTCGACTTGTTGTCTAGACGAATCCTCAGTGACTCCTGCAGGGAAGATCCATTGGAATCAAGTTCAACCCACTTCGAGCGATGTGGAAAAATTTCCACGCTTATTTGAAAACTGAGCCTCACCCTCAGGCTAGGATCGAGGTAGATCTTCGTGTAGAACAACTGATCGTCATCTTCGTCCTGTATAGCTACGTGAGTGGCAATTTTGTGGATAGCCGGTGCGAAGCCCACGAAGCCACCTTGAGAACGGATGAAAATTCAATCTCGGAGGGCCTCATCCCTCGTGGGAATATTCGATTAATCGTCCCAAAAGTCGAGCTGAGGAGCCATCGTTCCTGTATTTGCCATTTCGCAGGAGCAGCTGCTGACAAAAAGAGCCGAGACTCCTGAGCGGAACCACTCGCTTCCCGGCCGCTCCGAGATCACTTACCGGAGTTGAGATATTTCTTGCCATCGCTTTCTGGATATTTATTCTCGAGACTCGCATCTGGCCAGCAGAAGCCCTCGGCTGAGAAAACGGCGTCGGCATCGAGTGCAAAGAACTTTTCCAGGATGTCCTGTTTGTTGCCGGTGAAGATTACATCGTAGCTGTCCACAAACATGATGAGGAGATCTGATCGATCTGGAAATTCGGAGAGAAGAATCAATTCCGAACAGGTGTAAAGCTTTCTCCCGAACTTCAATTTATCGAGGGCGGAATAAATTTCAGATCGTGGTTCTGCCGACAGTACCCTTGTATTTATCCAGGGCTTTGCGGAGGAGGTTCACTTTGTGTCCCCCGCCAGTTGTGTGAACCACGTCGCCCCCCCGCCATTCTTCATCGAGACCAAGGGTCTCCACCGTCAGGTCTTCCCGTTCAGCGGACGCGAGAAACCTCTCGTATCCCTCGGTGCGATCTGTAGCTACTGTTATGACTAGAAGTTCAACTGGAAAGAAAATATTAATCAGGAGTCAGCATGCGCAGAATGAAAGCGATCACGGATCGAGATGATCGATTACAGACGAGATGGAGCAATCGATCCTTTTCGTGGAATGATCATGGGCTACTCACATTTATCCAAGGAATATTTCGATGCTTTCTGCGTCTCTTCGGCACATGCTCCGTCAAGTTGGCATTTCTCTGAAACAAGAAACTGTGTGCTTGATTCTCATTATCGCAGTTTCGATGATCATCGAAATCATTCGAGGATCGATGTCAGCTGTGGACCACGCTCGGAGAGCATATAATGGGTCGGCGCATCGAACCAAATGTCCACGAGGGCGTTTTAGTCTCCATTCGACCCACGCATTTCAGGCTAACAACCTCTCAGTGAGCGGTTCCATATGCGGAGCAAGTTCGAATCGATCCTGACGGAGGTTCCGCAGGAGGAAACCTTACAGGAACCCCAATTAGGAAACTTCAGATAGCCCGTCGAGTACGAACAATAAAGAATCCGGCTGTTCCGATCGTGAGATAAGTCTGCCAAACCTTACACTGGAAACCAAATGCATAAGCAGCAAGATAAAGGAAACCAAGAGGCCTCGCGTTCTTAGAAGATACGGAACATCCATTGATAGCGTCCTGCTCGTCTCGAATTATTATATCGCACCGAGAGATTCCAAAAAGGATAAGTAGAATGCAGAGAACAATTTCTGACGCACAAAGAATACAGTCCGAGATACTTTTCGGCGGTTTCGGGGGATTCTCAGCCCGACTCCGGCCTTCGGAGGATATTGAACCGGTCCGGCTGAATATTTCGTCCAGAAAGCGGAACCCTCAGCAATCATCTTGACGAGGTGAAGAGCCCAGGGCTCAAAAGGGGCTACCCTTGATCACTTGGGCTTCCGGAGAGAGCTGTCATAGGTCGGACAGCGATAATCTCCTGACAGGAAAGCAGGGGGCTCCAGCTTCGCGCTGTCATTCGAAAAACCGCGGCTGACTTCTGATTCGCCGTAGAGTCAAGTGCAACCTCATCACCGAAGTTCGGATTCGCGACTTTTCTCACCTTCATTCAGAGCGAAGATGTGAGCTGTGAGCGCGAATAGGCAAACCACGACGAACTTATGCCGTACCGTGGACATGGTTTGAATCAGCCGGTTGGGAGGACTGTGGGCGGCCATCTTGGTCGCTCAATAACGGAGAGTCTTCATCGAGCGAGACAGCTCGACTGGGAGAGAGACAATCGGTCGCTTTCCCCTCTAACTGTCAGCCGCAGGGCCGCGCGAACTCGTTCCTAGTTTCGGTAGCGACCCGATAAGCTCGGCAGCTGCTGTGGCTAACGGTGATTCCAGAGCGCTTCCCGTGTGAGCGTTCCTATCATATATCAGGGATAAGAGAATATGATGGTCGTGATTACCACTCCGTCTCGGTCGGAGGGCTGTCAGAAAAGAGGGACCATACACCGACAATGAAACCTTCGGAAGCCATCCTGGCAATCTGTGGTCTATAGGAGAACGAGGGGGCATGTCTGAGTCACAAGCCCCAAAATGGCACGGATTCACGTCAGAATACGGAACTCGAAGTCCCCGGATGCGTCTTCGCACCGTCGACGAAATTCAATGAATCTCTCCGCGCCGCTCCGAAATGTCGTTGAGAGATTTGAGAGGACCGTCGCGTCGATACAGTCAGCCTGCCCGAAATAACTGGTTATGAAAATGATGTCAGATATCAGATCAGGACCGAGCCACGATTGCGTATCCATTCACCTCGCCACCCAAGTAGAGAGTTATGGCTTGTCAAGGGTTCCCCTCAAGAATGATCCGGGAAGAACGCGGCCGCAGCTGCAAAGCAGTCTCTTTAATGATAATTTCCTTAGTCCATGGAACATGAGAATTATCCTGAGGAATGTCTAATTTTGTCTTCTTTATCGACACGCGCCGATACCGCCACTGCGTCTATAGGTGAGCAGATTCTTCGATTGAGACAACCGACTTTCATTTATCCCCGCGTGGGAGTTCAGCTTGGCGATTCCAACAGTGTCGTTCGTCTCACACAACTCAGACCCGTTTACAAGGAATCTCCGCGACAAGCGAGGAGAGTCGCCCCCTCGCGAATACCTCTCATGTACCACAAACATTATCGCAAGTGGAGCGCCCCAGGCATCCGACGCCGCATCGGATGAAAGAAATCCACGTTTCGCCCGATGGATCTCTCAATCGAGCTCTTCAGCGTGGAATTCTACGACGAGTAAGCGGGTCGGCCCTGGGCCGAGAGTTTCTTCTTCGCGATTCGCTCTACATGGAATTCGCCCGCGGGTTCGAGGGCGGAGAGCCGGAATCTGTCATTTTCCCTCAAAGATCCTCACCTATCTTCGTTGCGGGAGAGCGGGTCCGACTGTACTCGGCTCGCAGCATGGCTAGTAGAAGGAGTACGAGAACTTCCCCCGTGAGGCTGGGAACGATTTTTTTAGTTAGCTCCGACTTTACTTGAGGTCTATTCCCGCTGTCCACCCGAGCTTGCGACATTCGTTCATAACCTTTGGCTATTCCCGCGGAAGGAGCTTCAAGGCAAGAGGGAATTCATGGAACATCAATGACATTGTCTTAACGAATCAGTCTCATCGACTGTTTGAGTGGGAGGATGCGCCGCGCTTGCCCCCATGCTGCGACGGCTCGAGGTGAGCACATTTGCAGTACTTTCTCTGACAAAGCGGGATTCAGCTCGGTGAAGGTGAGGAGTCATCAGGAGCGTATCCTGAGTGAGGTGAGTATCTGAGTAGATTGTCATTCTTTCCTCTTTACCCAGAGAAGAAATCGGAGCTCGATATCTCTTCTTCTCTTCGCTACTGATTCTGGCTTCCCTGGATCGACTTCGTATTCCCTGGAGGCCTTCTAATCTCAGCTTAGATGCACGGAGTGCGCCGTGAAACATCCTGTAAGTCCTGCCGTCCCTTGAAGGAGGAAATACGGCAGCATCCTGATTCATTGTCGTCTTCTTTCTTTCGCCTTCGATCCGGAGATCGGATCCCCCTCTCGAGGCGCACGCTCCTCTAATTGTAAGATGCAGGAGACGTTGGATCCGATCGAGACAACCGCATAGGCATATCAAATGTCTTCATAGCTGAATTTGATCGGTAGGATTTGGAATGGTCCGGAGTTCTTTATGAGGGTGAAGCAAGCATGACCATGGATTCTCTAATTCTCGAGCATCGTCCCCTGAAATTCCTGCGCGGAGAAGAAATCCCGATCTATTCGCCGGGAGAGAATTCCAGATAGCTCCCCGAATACTCGAACAGCAAAATTGTCCATTTGATTATAGCATTCCCAAATCTGATAGGCATCATTTCAATCGAAGTACGCAACGGTTTCAAACTTGAAGCGACGATCATATCCGGTGAGCATCTTTTCCCCCAAGAGGTATTTCTGAATTCTTCATTAGAGAGCAGAAAGCATCGCGAAGCTCATGACTCATAATGTAGGACTCGACTAGATAGGCTTATCCCTGGAAGAAAGAATTACCCTTCTCAATCTGACATTGACACTTAAAGTCGGACGACGCGCTGGAATCGGCAACATGTTCGAAGGTGAGCATCCGTCTACCCCGAAGGGTGCGTGTCGAGGGAACCTTTCAGGTCTCTAGATAAAAATACCTGGATGCGTAATAATTTGCCATAAGACTTCAATCGAGGTGACGATCCATTGAACACGATGATAATTTATTAAACAACGCTAATATTGATGCTTCAGTTAGGAGACCGCTCCGACAACGACTCGACTATGGCAGGTGAGCACCCGCTCGTCCCGAAGAGAATCTCGGTACTCCCTATCAAGAGACGAAACACAGAAGGCGACCCTTTTGGCGGAAAACTCGACCTATAGGAATCACCATGCTTGGATTGCTCCAAATCAGTGGAAGTTCCCACAAAACTGCAATGTTCATAATTAATGCAGGGTGATCCTGGGTTTGGTAAGGATCATTCTCCGACATACCGGAACGTCTCTTCTACTCCTCGCCGAGATACAGGTGGCGCTGACGAGCATGGAGCTCCGAACTCAAGGTTCTGCTTCCTCTTGAATGTAGCAATGATTCGCAGAAGGAATGACCCAAACCCCCCAGCACCAACACCTCGTATGGTCAATCGAGAAGAATGCGTTATGGCCAATTATTTTGCGGCATCGATCGAATACCGGATTTCTTTAATTCATACAGACAAGCCGCTAGGAACCAGAGAAAGCGATCGAGGGAGAACACTGACACCGACGCAGCAACCAGACAGCGAGCAGTGAAGTTGAAGAGAATCCGTCATTACAAAATACCATCCGTCACGGAGCTCGATCAGCGGACATTGAGGTGGGAGCTCGGATTTGATCGGGGAGACAGTTCATTCGATGCTCCCGATGAGGGTGTCGGATTCAGATCCATTCATCTGCAATCGACTGCGCTCCCTGACCACTCTCCTCTCTCGGCTCGCGGGAAATCCATGAACCCGACCCTCACCTGAATCTATCAGACGTCCGGCGAAGACTTCGCTCAAGTCCAGGACAACCATCCATCCAGCTCCTCCTCGACAAAGCGGCGGTGGCTTAGCATCAGGCACCCCAATTCCCCAAAACACGATGCTCCCGTGATCCCCATCAGAGAGACAGTCTTACAGGCTACGTGCAAGGCTTGGGTGGATCTTTCTTGCTGGGCGATCAATGACGGCTCTTTCGAAAGTGCGGTATAAATGCGAAGATTCTCGTTCGTGAAGTCGCCGAGATTCGAAGGACGCTGTTCAGCTCGGACTCCTCCTTCTCTGCTTCTTTGGAAGGAGGCGACATTTTTCGGAATGTGTGAAGTCTTCCCCCCCCCGCATTGACTCCTTGTCTGATCGTTTGAGTCGAGACACTTGAGAAGAGAGGATCCCGAGCACTCGACTTCATTTCTGGAATGAGTGAAATGCGAACCGTCCCAGCATGCGTCCTCAACCTTATAACTTATAATATTCATGTGTCAGGGAAAATCGCGGACGAACACGAACCTCCCACGAACCCACAATGCTGAATTTTCAATAGAACTCCACATGCTCATTTGCGTCGCGGCTTATCGAGGAATTCTCTGGAAGTTGCCGCCTCCGAATATTGGCCTGTGGGGAAATCGAGGAGCGCGCGGGGATAATTTCATAAATGTAGATCGG